CTTTTTCCAACATTTCCATATTGTTTAGAGTCATGTCAGTTTCCCTGTTGTAGATACAACGTCTCATAACTGAGTTAACATCCACAAGAACACACGTGGAATCACAACCAGGTTTCGTTAAAGCAGAAATTAGGAAATGAGCAAAAAGTCCTTATTTTTCTTGTATTTGCTCGTCAGTTTTAGCTGTCGGTGCCTCTGAAAGCCCATCTCTGGCTCAGTCTGTGCCGTGAGTAAACCTCTCTGTCTTTTTGATTTACGCTCCTTCATTAGCGTCTCCGCTCTCTCGGCTCTTTATCAGCTGAAGGAGAATCAAACTGTTGGTTTTTACTTTCCAACAAATGAAGCAGAAACTCTAAAGTTCAGACAGATGTTCCCTCTCAAACTAAAATGTTTGAGTTTTAATTCGCCCCGGTGAGCGATTAGAGCGCAGACGGGGGTGGCACGCCGCTCATTGAGCTGCTGTGTGTTTAGTGTTAATATTGAATCAGAGCGTGTTAAAGAGCCATGAAGGCCTTTTTAATTAACTTTAACACAACCGTCTTGCTGTTATGTGCACACATACATTCACATAGAAATGGAAAATCGCAAAGAGACAAATTCTAATCTGTCCATTGTCTTTGGAAGGACTTTCAGTCTCTGGTTTAATCTTCAGGAGGTTTGGGGGCTTTTGTTTCTCCCTCCATCAGGGCTCGTTCTCTCAAAATCCATCAATGAAAATGTTTCATTTGTTTTTGTTTGTTTTTCTTTCCCCTCCACCACAGTTCCTAGATATGAATACATCATTTTTCATAACAGACAGCACGACCTTAAGATTTATGTATTTCTTGACAGTTAAAGTAACAAAGTAACAAATGTAGGTAACAGTATATCTGTGTTGACTAAAAAGAACCAGGCCTTACTGCCTAAACACGACTGATTACATTTCACTGTGCTTTTTTCACAGCAGGTGTCACGAGGTGTTCGAGGTCGACATACAAAACTCAAACCTTTGATCTTTTTGTCCTGATTCTGAGACACATCGACAACTATTGTGTTGTGTAATCTTTTCATATAAGAGTGAATCATTTCAGGGTTTTTTCTTTTTTGAAAATAATAACATAAATAATGCATTGCATGATATGAAGTGTTTGCAAATAACCCAAAAATGTTGCTAAATAAGCTAACTGTGTGAGTTATTCATGGGATCCACTAACTTATTGGTTAAAAGCACTCTTTTCACTCACTTTAAGCTCTTGGGTGTTTTGGGAGTCCACTTGCATTGTGGGTAATGTAGGCACCTGAGTTAAGGTGGGGGAACAGTGTAGTATACAACCAATTTTCAAAGTTTAATATTTAACTGAATGTTTGAACAGCTCGTTTCATTTTCAGCGTTCACAGTAACACACGAACACCGGGACCATAAAGGAATAAAAGCAGATAGGGCTCTGTTTTATGCAAATGCAGCCGAGGCGGGGAGTCAATTTGAATGCAGGAGTCATGGTAAGAACACGCAGCTCCATCAGGGTTACAGCAGTTTGTCTCACAGGTTTATAGCACACAATATAAAATGCTTCCACTACATACGCTTCATTCACACTTTTACACACTAATAGATGGTGTGATTTTTGTGTAGCTGAAGCAGATGATTAAACATGGAGGTGTGAGATGTGTGTGCACTGAAGCCATATAAATTATGACTTCACTGCACACTGCTTATGTAGAGGAATCGCCTCTAACAGAGTAATATGCTTTTATGGGACTTGGAGTAGTTGTTGTATTGTGATTACTTAACAAGTAAATACATGTTGTAGCTAAATGATTCATCTTTCTGCTAAAACTGCTTCAGAAATTCAGCTGACACAAATCCAGCATGAGCTGAGTGATGCAGCGAGAAAAGTTAAACTGACGTGAGCCCCCTTTAACTTTGCAGTGATCACCTGCAGGGGGCGCATCCTTCAGCTTTTCATAGAAACAGTTTAAAAAATGTTTTGTTTCTGTTTTACAGATGGAAAGACACGAACTAAAGACAAATACCGAGTGGTTTACACCGACCACCAGCGGCTCGAGCTCGAGAAGGAGTTTCACTACAGCAAATACATCACCATCAGAAGGAAGGCGGAGCTTGCCACGGCGCTCAGTCTGTCAGAGAGACAGGTACACAAAAGCTAAATGTTTTGT